ATATATATATATATATATATATAACAAGTTGTAAGTACAGTGTTAACAAATGCATCTCCCTTTAGCTGAATTCATACCTGACACAAGGTTTTAATGACAGTCCTATTATAGATACCTATATGGGGTAGATTTGTAATTATACTTCTATGTCATGTTTCACCCACTGATAGCACCACCAAAACATTAAACAGGTGTACAGCATGTAATATTATATTTTAATTATACTTCCCACAGTAACTGTGTTTACACTCTTTCATTCAGAGCACGGTGGGCTACGCTCATACTTACAGAACTGGAGTTACACCCAGTTGCCTTATTAGTGCCACCATGCCTTATTAGTGAGCGGAGATTACTGCTGTGCAACTTCCATGTTCACATTCTTTCATTCATTGTGAGAGCTCCATGGTCACCGTTTACCGAAGCACACGTCAGCTACAGCGTAGCTACAGAGCCTATGCGAGTAGCCGCCATGGCTACACTAACCCCTTAAAATGGAACTATAAATCCAGCTTTACTATAAACTATTACCACACAAATGAAATTAATGTCAATGCTTTTTACCAATAAATATTGGTACATTTGTTTTTATGTAGATGGATTGATAAGATAGATAGATCTGATAATAATAAAGTCCTCTGAATAGGCAATTAATGTTGTTTAGTGCAAAGGTCCCTCTGGACAAATCATTTTTTGTTCTTCCCTTGCTGGCCTGCTTTCAATATGTTTTTATGGAGTGACTGTGATGGGATGATTGTCAGCTGCAACCTTCACTCACCACCCTTGGAAGGATGGATGAATGACTGCATGCCATATAAGAAATGGAGAGATGGATGGCAGGGAAGGGGGAGGCTTTTCTGGATGGATAGGCAGACATTAACCACTCATGCTAGATTGATCCATCTAAATGTAATCCACACTTAACTAAAAGTATCATATCAACCACGTTCAGACAGTTGTGGAATACACACAGTCATCATTTCCCAGAGGGCCAGCTGCTGTGCTGCTTTATGGACGTGAACAGCTGCAAGGTGGGACTATTTTAAAAGGAAGGCACACAAAGCATTCTGTTTATACAAGACATGTTTTATGCATTATGGAGGACACATACCGTTGCTAAGTTGTCTTCTGGAAGCACAGGGCAATAGAAAAGAAAACAATGACTGTAGTCATTTAGCACATTTAGCACCTGAAAGTTAATTCTTGGTAAACACTTGTTTAAAACAAATAATAGTGATTCCAGTAGGTAGAAGTTTCACAGTAAATCCAATGCTGTAGAACTTAAGAATGAGTTGTGTAACAAAGCAGTTCAGTTTCTGTGCCCTGTTATAACATGTCAAAATATGTTACAAAAGTACAATGATCAATTCTGACCAGTAATCTGTAGTTTTTGATAGAGAAAAAAATGGACAAGTAATAGTTGTCTGTGAAAATATATAACTAATGGAATTAAATATAAAGCAACAACAATATATTTTTTTGTTTGTATTGGGCCAATTGTGGGCAGCGGGACAAGCTGTAAACACCCACCCAGCCAGATCAGCAGGACCAGCCCACCACAGCAGGTGTTGTCGCCCCAGGAGGAGAGGAAGAGAACCAGGACAGGAGCCATGCTGGCCCAGCTTGGACTGCTCCTGGCTAATGTCCAATCTGGACGAAATGGGACTCCAAATGGCCAAACAACGGGAAATCCAAGACTGTTTAGCCCACATCTTTACAGAGATATGCTCCCTCAACATCCTGGATCATCAACGGGTGGACCATGTCCCGAGCTGAAAGGGAGGGAGGCGGACACCAATGATGCTTGGTGCTCAAACCAAAAAATTGCACTATAGAATTATTTCCTCTGTGTATATGTGTACATGAATAACAGTATATTGGGTTTTATCTAATTTCATTTAGTCTTTTCTGTGTTATTCTATAAATTTAATTACATTCTTTCTATGTGTGTAGCGTGATTGGACTGCCATTTTGTTGTACAACCTTGTGTTGTATAATGATAAATAAATGTCCTTGATCCTTGACACAGGAGAATACAGAGATCCACAGACAGCCAAAGCACTCCATCCGCACACAAACAGATGGGTGCACATACAAAAGAAGACATGGTGTCATCCATTCTGGTTAAGTATTGTTTAGATGGTGGTTGGCGTTTAATTCTCTCATTCTATTAAGTCTACGGAGAAAGAGAAAAGAACCATTTAACACTAATCCTCACCAAATAATACATTCATTTGTGTGCAGAATGGGAGGATTTAACGCCAGCTCACAACCAAACAAGACTGGAGTGAAATGGATACCGCCATGTCTGTGAGCATGTGCGTGTTTGTGACTCCATTAGGGATGAGAGGAAAAATAAAGTGATTATTTCACAGTCATCTGAAAATAAGACATGTTGCACAAGAGTTCCATTCCACAGTTTGTTTGAAGGGTAACCTAATTTGAAATGATGTTTTAATCATCGTATTTTAAATAATTAATGTAATTTGTATAATGTGTCATGTTACATTGTAGCAGCCTGCTAAAAGTAAAATTTATTAAAGAGTAACCAGGATAACATTAGGTGATCTATCATTATCTCATCATTATAGCAACTTAAGGTACCCCATGTTTTTTTTTAGACGCTATGAGTGGGTGCCTGTTTAGGATGTGGGCCATGCACATGCAGCATTCGGTTACATGATACACATTCATGCTGAAGGTTTTCCACTAACTGACAGCTGGCAGCAGCAATGCAGCTAGAAACATAGCAATGCACCAGCTAAGGTAAAGGAAAAGAAGCCAGCAAACATGGATGTAAACATTGCGGTATATATAAATATTTGTAATAAATGCATTAAACATGATTGATAGGCACCAGGGCTGCAAATATGTGTTTGGCTCAGAGATTGCAACTGTAAATATGTTCAAAAGAAAGCTCCACCTTCAACACTATCTGAAAATCGCGTTTTGGCTGACGTGTTGTGGTTGAAGTTCTCACCTTTAGCTGTTTAACTGTTCCTTTAACCCAAATCTGGTTAACAGGGTACAAAGGACAAAGCAGTGCACTGTGGCACAAACTGTGTACATGAACTCAAGTCCTGAATCATCTTTCACAAACCAATCCCTCCTGTTACTCTCAACCATTATGAGGTTAAAGCATTACAAAGTAACCTTTGAAGAAACATGTATAACTGGTAGCCTGAGATGGAAACCTGCCAAAACTACAAAAACTATAAAATGCCTATAATTTTACCTTTATTTTATATTTCATCTTATTTTATTGAAATGTTTGATTTTCTCTTCTTTTTTCCCCAGACCTTTGCGACCTGAGCAGCCAAAGACTTACAGTATACTATAAGATGACTGACATTGATGGAGTGACTGCGTCTGGTACTCAAACAAACCTGCATTAGGGTGAGGTGGCAATGACAGAAAATGATGGATAGCTCACAGGATGGAGGAGTGACATGGAGGAGGGGATCTGAGGTGAAGTGAGACAGGATAGAGATCGAGATTTCAGTTGACAGATCGACTGTCAGCTGAATCAGAGTAAAAGCTTCTGATGTCATTTTTAATCCTCTGACTCTAGCATGTTTCTGTGCAATATATCATACTACCTGGCTGTTAGAGATTGAGTCCCATTGGTGAAACCCTTCCCCCTAACAGTGACTGTCCAGTCATAGTTCAGCAACTGTAACAAGACATGGCAGGACTGTCAAGCTTTGGATTTCCCTGCATGTTGAAGCCATGTATCTGTAGTAATAATAATACTTTGGAAGGTGGTGTCTCAAAAGCCAAAAACACAAGAGCAAAAGTTTAAGGAATGGATTAAACATTTGCGCTAACATAAACTGCAAGCCCTGCTAAACTGCATTATGCATCATAGTTTTACGCTCATCAAACATATTATAATATCATCCTAACAGCCTTTTCTCCGGTAAGTAATATTTCCACATTAAAATGTATAAAAACAGTAGACCTATGTTATATATTTTGTCGAGTTTTGTATTTACATTAACCCAAATGTTTCCAAAAATGTCCAAAACCAGAGAATTCAGTATTTCTATCCATGTAATAGTGTGTTTCACTGGTTTCCTGTCAATGGCATCCCCTTTGCGCATGCATCAGCGTTCTGGTTGTCTGCCAGAAGCTCTCATAAATTGAGTTTTTATCTAGGCATTTTTAACTATATGTTTTAACCAGATGAAAGATTTTAGTCATCAGACGTCTGAATCATAAGTTATCAAAGAAACAAGCCGAGCAAACGTGAGCAGCAGCTTGGCTGGCAGGCCCTCCAGGCGTCCTTTAATCTGCCAAACAACATTGAATAAAACACTGATTTTTAAGGTGAAAATGCTTTATTCAGTGTTTTGGACATTTTTAATCACCGGATCCATTTGTGTTCCTGTTAAAAACCTCCAAACACTGAAGGAATCCTATCCAGGAGAAGATGCAATGACAGCAGTGGTATTGAAGAAAACATCTCCCATGATCCCAAGCTACTTTAAAATGTCATCACACTTCTTCTTTTGTTATTATTTTTATTTGAGAGACCCCATAGTGGCAGAAATTATATATCATACGTTTAATCCGGCAATATCATCAGTCAATGACTGGAGATGTTTTGGTCTACCTGTCTGAAATCAAGGACCTGTTGTTTCAAAAATAAAATTCAAGTTTCAAGTGGTAAATCTTCCCCTGTTATCATTGTAAACTGCATATGTTACCTACTGTACATGACAGGAAAGATTTGCCAGCATAGCAACAGTAACTAAGAGGGGAAGGGCTTAGTGAAGACTCAGTTCTTCACGTCTCTCACGTATTAAACTAAGGTTATCCAGTCTGACTAAGCCAGTATTGGTGCCTTAATAAAATCAATTATCAGCTTGTTATATAAAGTAACAGTTATTAATAGGCTATCCCTACTTCCTAATCGCTTAAAAAAACATGGCAGTTTTAGAAAAAAAATACTGTGGTTTGGGAAAATGTAAGTATCACCACTGAAGGTGTATTTAAACATTTTATTATAAATGTTGCTTTCTTCAATTTAGAGCTCTCCCTTTCTCAGTTTTTAGCTCCCCTCAGGCCACTCTCTGCTGTCACTAAGCCTTTAATCACATAACGGTGTGTTTACTGCACATTTATCTGGCCTCCATCTGAACTAATAGCTCCGATTCTAAGCTGTGAAGTGTGTGTATATTATGCACATATATGCATGTATGTTTCCGGCTTCAGTTCATAAATTGTACATT